TAATGACAACAACGACAAATAGAGAAATTCCATTAAATATAAAAAAATCTATTTTTGTTGTATTCTCTTTAGAATATTAAATATAATCTGCTTGACTAGTAACAAAAGGTTACCTCATCTCATTGAAGGTGTGGTGTGGGTATGGTCGTGAATGTGATATACATCTAATATCCACGCCCATAGCCACAATCACACCCTGCTATCAATAACTAGGTTGAAAGAAAAATATATTCATTTTTAGAACTAATTTGAATAGATTAAAGATTGCTTCAGAATAATTATTCATTATAAGATTTTGTTTGAAATACAAGTTAACTATCCTATGGCTGGATTTTATAGATTGAAAATTAGAAACATAGAAAAAATATTATTTCGAAATGAGATATTCAATTGCTAAATCTTGTTTCTGATAAATAATTTTCACTTAAAGATTTTATTGCATTTTCTAACAATTTTGAATACAATTCCAAAAGATAGTATATACAAAGATCTAATTATTAACAATAAATTAACTATTCTTGTTTCATGGCATAATTATTTCTCTATGACTATTTTGTCAAATAAAAAAGTTTTCTTCATCAAACATATCTTCAAGCAGGCATATTATTATCTATTTCTTTCTCTGTGTATTTTTCTTATCTAAGACTATAAAAAAAGAACTAACTGATGTGCAAAGTAAACTTAAGTGATTTTATCTTTTGCATATAAATTCATAGGTAAAACTATAGTGTGAATATTTATTTTCATACAACCTTCATAATAATCACACACTGTAAGTATAGAAGATTGTTTCAAGGTTTTAAGTAAAAATTGTCAATTTGCTTGAAGTAGTGGTTTTTAAGGAATGCATATCTTAACTTACTGTGGATTTATACTTGTTATCTGCACTATTTGCTTAGCCGCCCCCGCTAAATCAGCCAATACATGTGGTTACGATGTAAGATAATTTTCAAAATATATCTACTGATGCTATCAAATATGATGTATATTATAGGCATGTAACCCAGGAGATCCTAACAAACTAAACGTTCACATTGTTGCGCATACACATGATGATGTTGGATGGCTCAAAACAGTTGATCAGTATTATTATGGATGTATGTAAATTATTTTAATAAATTTGATAAGGTTTTAAACATTTGATTAATTAAATAATATTCGAAAAATAATTGTTACTGAAATATGTTACGTGTTTCTTGAGAACATTAAGTTTTGTCCATAATGTTATCTTTTATTTTATTTAGCACGTAATGATATTCGACAGGCCGGAGTACAATATATACTTGATTCAGTTATTCTTGCACTTGATGAAAATCCAGATCGACGTTTCATGTATGTTGAAATAGGGTTTTTCTGGCGTTGGTGGAATCAACAAACTGATGATATGCGTAATAAAGTCAAACAGTTTGTCAATCAAGGTATGCTTGTTTCAAAGAATATTTTCTGTTTTCATACTTTTTAATATATACATAATTTGAATAGGTCGTCTGGAATTCATCTCTGGTGGTTGGTGTATGAATGATGAAGCATCAACACATTATAACTCCATCATTGATCAGCATACGCTAGGTGCTGAGTTTCTTCATGAACAATTTGGTGAATGTGGTCGACCAAAAGTTGGCTGGCAAATTGATCCATTTGGTCATTCTCGTGAGCAAGCTTCACTTTTTGCACAAGTAACATCATTTATTTTGCTATGAAACTGCACGTATTTTAATAACAAACTGATTTCATGTTTGATTTTAGATGGG